CTGGCCTGTACCCCAGTTCTGTACGAATAAATAAATAAATCTTTAAAAAAAAAAAAAAATAAAAAATAATCTAGTCTTCATGAATGAGCAATTTGGACAGTTAGGTTTTCTAGAGAGCTAAGAAATAACCCTTTAACCATTAAAATAGAAATCTCTATGAAATCATTATATGTTTAAAATCAAAGTTATTTTTCTTGGTGACTTCAAAATAGAAAATCGTTTAATAGTTCCAAACTATACCTATTTTAGAAACTATTTTAATATTATTAGAAAAAAACCCGAATACCAAAGGAGAAGTGATTGATACTCTGATATATACTTATTTTATACATAACATACCTATTCTGTATGGTTACATGACTATATTATTATATAGTTATATGTAATTGTTACACATCTACACATGTATATTATATATGAGAAGAAAAATACTTAGTTCAGAAAATGGAACATTGTCAGTATCACTAAAGTTTCTGTATTCTCCTTCCAGACTCCAAACTACACAAGGTTTGTGTTAAACATTCTCTTTCTTTACTAGATATAGTATGCTTATTTAATCACAGATCAATGTAACTTAAAACAATACACATATTTTGCAAATCTATTAATTTCAGTAACAGTATGAAAACACTGATTAGCTTGTTCCTTGATAATATGTTAAGATTCATCCATGTTATTAAGTATATCAAAATATCAATCATTCTCATTGCCTTATTTGCATGTGGACATGCCAAATTTGATTCTCCATTCTACAATTACAAAGGTATGAGGTTCCATCCAGATTTTTGCTATCGCTACTACAGCCCACGATGAAATTTCTAGATATGATTTCTTCAGAATGGTGGCCCAAAATTCAACATTGACTAGAATTTCACACTGAGAGTGTATTATAATACAGATTCCTAGGATCCAGTCCTCAGTTTCTGACTGAGTAGACTTGCAATGGGATCTGAGAATTTACATTTCTAACTACTTTTCACCTGATGCTGATGCTGTTGTCCTATGTATCAATTTTTGAGTCACTGCTCTAGGCTCATAGGACCTATGGTTTTCAAATTTTTATCTTAGGGTTCACACTTAAAAGTTAGGAACCTCCAAAAAGCTTTACTGATAAATTAGTGACTGGTGATTACTGTATTAAAAACTAAAACTGATATATCTTTAACACAGGGATATAAAAGTATACATTACACTAGTTGTCCCAGTAATGATTTTATCATCATGTAGGTTCTGAAAAATTCCACTGTATACCTGAGCCAGAATGAGAATGATTAAGTCTTACTATTACTATGAATATAATTCTGACCTCAAAAACCTCCCATGACAGTATCCATGATACTGCTCTGGACAGTGGGAGTAGTTGTCACAACCATATTTTGGGAACTGATGCTGTAGGATGAATATCTAGACATGAAGTTGATAAATTTAGAGCAGAGTAGAAACTGTTCAACTTGACTAAGCTAACACATTACTTTCCAAAGTGATTAGATAACAAACTCCTCAGCCAGTATACTTTCCTATGTTTTGCACATCCTTATCAATACTTTATAGTATTTCCGTTTTACCTATGTGGTTGATTAAAAAAAAAGCATCTGTTATTGCAGTTTTAATTTTTATTTTCCTGATTATTAATTACATTGAGGATATTTCTTTTTCATGTGCCTTTCTATCTATAATTTCTATTATTGGGGCCTTCCTTTTTCTAATCGCCCACCCCTTTTTGTTCCTTTTCCTTTAAAGTGCCAATGTTTTCAAAAGATGTTGCTGGACAGCTTTCTTTCTCCTATACTGGAACTCAGCTGTCACTGTTTGAAACATTTTGTTCATTTCTACCCAGATTACTGTCATGTGGATATGTACAATGAACGTTTTTACAGTGAGTGTATCTGTAACCCTTACATGCTCCCATCTTGGGAATAATTTAAATGCATTCTATGGGGAAAAGTATTTCATGGCACCCTCAGCTGCCACAAGTACTGTACCATAAAAAGAGTTTTTCAAATTGTCATCCACAGGAAATCCTGAGTCCCCCCCACCACAGATCATTTTCTTTTCCATTTTTTCTTTTTTCTATTTCTGCACCTTCACCCCAAATCTTTGACTGTTGTATATACCAGGGAGTTCCAAATCAAATTTCACTTTAAAATATATATTAGTAATTAAAAAAAATTCTTTTGAACAATCACTGCTATAATTTTCCTAGAAAACCCTCAACAAACTACATCAAGATGGCTGTAAACCAAGCAACAAAACATTTCGTATTACAGAGAAAATTATTTTATATTAGTTTTCTGTGTAACTTCAGAGGCCTTTCACTGGAAAAAAATTAGTGTAATTAGATTTAATATTTTAACCTTGGTAATATCGCCTACAAATAACTATAAAAGCTAGCATCTAATAGAGGAGTTTATTATGAATTATGAAACGTAGTTAAATCACTCCAATGGTTATGCAATCTCACCTATCACAGTGCTCACTGGGAGAAGTGGTGGAAGAGGTGGTGCTGGTGGAGCTCCAGAAGGAGGAGGGACAGAAATGTTTTCTAATAAAATAGTTTATAATTCAGGTCAGAGTGCAAGAAAGAGAACTAAACATTCTGAAACAGTAAGAAAGTACAATGTATTGGAAAGAAGAAATAAGAGAGAGAAAAAGAGAGAGACACCCATATGTAAAGCATGTTCAAATGAGTAAGAATTTTGCTAGGTAAAAAGGCCATTGAGAATTCACACCTGCATTAACTATTAAAAGATGCCTGTATTTATAAGTAACCTTTTCTCCTTCTTCAACAACATCCTTGCAAAGCTAAGAATTTTAATTTACCGTATTTCTATAATGTATATTTTTAATACCATAAAGTCTTCATTTCATTTATTAAAAATCAAGGGACTAATTTAATTCTCTAATGATTTCTCAAATTTTTATACAATCTAGAAACTAAAAGAACTTTTCAGATTTTAATTTCATTTTATATTCATAACCTCTTACTGCAATACATACCACCACACAAATGTAATCACAGAACAAGCTAATACCAGATTTGAGATACTAGCCTATAAGCAACATAACTTTGGATACATAATTCACATTAAAGACATTGATTCTTTCATTGTAGCATCAACAATATTGGTTTATTCTTGAAATAATACATATCATTCTTGAATAGTGCCTAAGACAAGTATTTCTAATACAAAATGGCCAAAAGAGTTATTTAATAAAGTTCTTTAATATGCTTATGTAAGTAGAAACAGCTGGCAAAACCCTGGGTTTCTACAAAATCCAATCTAAATATGTTTTAAGATTTGTTATTAATCTTTATTTTTAACAATCACATAAAATTAGCAAATAATTTTATCTAACACAACTAAATTATGTTATAAATAAAAATCATAAATACTGCTCTGCATACCACTAGATTCATAAATAACATACCTGGTCCAATAGTGGGTGGTGAAGGTGTAGGCACGGCAATGGGAATGCCAATACTGCTGCTTCCACTATTTTCTCGACTTCCACTTCCTCCACTACTTCCACTACAAAAACAATGTAAAAAACACACAAAAAAGCAAATCTAAAGAGCCCAAAAAAGTGGTAATAATTCAACTCAAAGGCAGCAAATTCTCCTTTTACACGCATGTATATTTATACAAATTTATGTTTCTGTATAAACAGGAAATTTTTTAAATTGTTCAGCACAAATTTTAAGAAGGATACTTGAATGGCTTTGCGTTTCACAGTACCTCTAATCAATTTGGAAAAAAAATTATTGTAACATCAGATTCACAACCATCAAAAAAAAATCATACACTTGAGAAATAACCAATAAAACTTTATAGTACAATGAGCCCACAAAGGTTTATTTAAAACTTACTATGAACAGCAACCCAAACACAGCAGCTATGAATCACACTGTCAATGGAACCACAATGCCATAGTTGAGAATGGGAGGACAAACATTAAAAATCTGCTCACCACTGTCTCTGGTGAATCCTCTCACCCTTGGCACCCCTGCCCTATACCCTGTTCTATACATAAACAAAAAAATAAATCTTCAAAAAAAAAAATAAAGTGATGAACTGATGGTTGTCAAGGCATTGTTGTGGGATGAGGGTAATGGCTAAAGAGACTCAAAACTTACAATTATGAGATAAATAAATCATCATAGGGCTATAATGTACAACAAGGCAACTATAGTTAATAATACTGTTATTAGATATTTGAAAGTTGCTAACAATAGATCTTAAAAGTTCCCAACACAAGAAAATAAAATTTGCAGCTATGTATGGTGATGAATGCTACTAGTCCTATTATCATTTCATTATATGTGAAAATATGGAATCATGAATTGTGCACCTGAAACTAATATAATGTTACATCAGTTATAGCTCTAAAAGAAAAATACTGCGATGGATGCCACAATAGAGAACATATCGATGTTTTGGAAGCTAATTAAAAGAATAATCATTTCTTTAAAAAAAAAGGAGGCCCTCCCTGGTGGCGCAGCAGGTTAAAGCACAGCACTGAGAAGCTAAAGCCACCTCCGCATGAGTTCGATTCCCGCCTGCCCCAGTGAGCACATGGCGTGGCAGACCTCTCCTGACCCGCCCGCTGCTCCCCTCAGCAGTGTAATTCGTCGATCTGCCTGTTCTGCTCCCCGCTCTGTCTCTGGTGAAGCCTCTCGCCACCCCTGACCTCTGGCCTGTACCCCAGTTCTGTATGCACAAATAAATAAATCTATAAAAAAAAAGGAGTAATCAATTCTATTTGGAATTAGTATGAAAACCTCTGTTCATCTCATAGATGTTGATAAAGCAGGGACATTTTCCAGAAAATGAACAAAATGACAGGGAAAAAGTTGTACAGTTTAAAGCACAGACCATTCAAAACAGTAAAACTATTAAACTCTAATCAATCCCTTCTATTCTAATTTCTATGATTACTGTCCCTTTAGATAGCTGATCTCACACTATCAGTTGTTTTTAATAGTGTGTACCTGCACATTTATGCAAATATGTATTTGGGCAAGTATAGCCTTAGGTTCCATACTGTGTGTTAAAGTCAAGCTCATTGGCTTAAGCGGCCCTGAAATTCAACTGGGCAAAGACACCATCTAGATAAAATTTTTCTTTTTACCCCAAGATAGTAAAAAATCACCATGTTAACGGAAGAAAAAGGAAGAAAGGTATTGTGTAACAAAAATGGACTCCATAACTCAAGTCACAAGATCATATTATGTTTTGTGCCAATGTTGTATCACAGACCTGGATATTTTTGCACTGCAGTGCTCTTTGACAATTATTGGCTTAAATAACTTTTTCTATCACAGGGGCTGGCACACTATATAGACAATAAGTCAAATATGGCCAAAGCTGTTCAACCCAATTTTCATTAACTATGAACTAAAAAACATTTTTTCATTTTTAAATAATTGAAAAAAAAAACCAAAGGAATGAGTGTGACACATTAAAATTACATGATTCAAATTTCTGTGCCATATATAAAGTTTTATTGAAACACAGTCAGGCTCATTCATTAATGTGTTATCTGTGGCTGTTTTCATGCAATAGCAACAGAACTGAGTGATTTCAACAGAGTCCATATGGCCCACAAAGCCTAAAATATTGACAATCTGATTATTTAAGTTTGTCAACCCTTGTTATAACATAGTGAACTCCTGAACAAAAGGAATTGTATCTTATTAACACAATCCTTAGTATTTAATGAAATCTTAGTAACTAGTAGCTGAATATGACTAAACTCTTACAACTTCTACTATAGAGTAAAACCAAGCTTTGACATAACAACAACAAACATTAAATAAGAAAAATATGAGTCTTCACTTAACTTTTCCTGATATAGTAATTACAGATATCAATATAAAAAGTTTACTCACCAAAAGTTGCAACATTAGTAAGTACCAATTGCGTAACGTCTATTTAATAGAATCCCACAAAATAAGTTTGCTAAGTTGACTCTAATATATTAACCTAAATCAAGGCAAACAGACATTTCCTGCACATTATTAAATAAGAGATAAAACAGAGTAAGCTATATAAAAAAATGCCTGTCTTTATAAAAGTGCTCCAAAATTTGACTGGCTACCTTAGTGGGGTGGAGAGGGGGAGGTAGAGGCAATCATTGGGAAAACCCTGAGTAGGACTTCTAGGTTGTTAAGTTCCATTTTCTGGTTTAGGTGATGGTTACAAGAGTATTCAATTTGTATTAATCTGTCAAGCTGTATTCTTAATGAAGCACATAATTTTCTAAATATATGTTATGTTTCATAGCCAAGTTTGTTTTTTTTTTTTAATCTATTGGGTAGTTTATTTCTACAACTTTTAACAATTTGTATAGTAACATATTCTATTCAATCATTCATATTCATATCAATTCTCAAGAAATTCAAGTCTTCTTTCCTACAACCTCCTTAAGTTTAAATAATATTGTATAATTTCTGATATTTAACTTCTTAATCCAAAAATATCTAAGTGGCTGCTTTCAAGCCTGCTTTTTAAAATATTCTTTAGTCCTGATCCAAGCATCTATCAAATGAAAAAATACTAGCAATCTAAGAATAGTATGCATTCACAGGAAGATACACAACATTATTGATGCCATTTTTTTAAGCATATAAGAACTGGAGCATAGGCTACAGTTGGGGGGAGTGAGAGAATTCACCAGAAAGACTGTGACAGGCAGATCTATTGAAACATAGTGCTTAGGGGAGCAGTGGGCAAGACAGGAGAGGTCTGCTGTGCCGTGTGGGTTAGTTCCCTGTTTGGGGCTCAAATGGGTTAGTTCCCTATTTGGGGCTCAAATTCACGCAGCAGTGGCTGGCAACAGCTTGAAAGCACTCAGACTTTAACCCCTGAGGCACCAGGCCCATATTGCCAATTCTTAATTCTATGTCAGCATTACAGTAATACTTTACCTTTAATTCAGCAACTAATATTTTCCTTTATTTCAGGAACCTGGTAATAGTTTACAACCAATCAATAACCCCCATTCTCAGATGTTCAAAGGCTCAACCTTAAAGTTTACCTGTGTGTCCTTGGTCTCTGATTTAACGAAGCTGTCCTTCCTGGACTGTGCTGACTTCCAAGCCTAGCAGGACTTGTCATGTAGTCATTAGGAACTGTTGGGGGTTTAACAGGCTCCAGGGTTTTATAAGGAGTATTCCGTCTAAAGAAGCATAATAGAATAATGAGCAACACATATAAAATGATACCTTGTCCCAAATTACTACTGCCCCTTTGTGACAAGTAAAAATGCAATTTTTAAAAGATTTTTTACAAGTAAAACGTCTAGAAATCTTAATTGGAATATGTATGAATTTCATTGCACTAACAAAAAAATTAAGATTTGTTACCCTTTCTTAGGAAAACACTATGAAAGTCTATTTTAAAGTCAATTTTAAAGTCTAACCTTATTTCTAAAAATAATGGTAGCTAATTTTTTAAATGCTCGGTAATATTAAATAAATATTAGTTTCAAAAGTCATTGTCCATTACATTCTGAAAGCAAAATATCTGCTCTGCAATTTATTCTTACCTAATATGAAAATATATGGACAAGTACATGCTAACCCTAGATGCAATGCCATGAATTTCTCAACAAATTATTTTCATTTTTCTATTTAATAACTTAATTTTGTTTGGGGCAAGAGGTTTACAGAATGAAAATGGGAACTCATTTCAAAGATCTGCTTGAAAAGCTGGTTGCTAATCCTTACTACTATAAAAGGATTCTCCAACTTTCCACCAAAAGCAATTTCTATTAAAGTGAATGATCAGATTTATATTAAATCTCAGATTTATATTTAAAAAAAGATAAAAACATAATACACATATACAAGACTTTTCTGATACAGACTTCTTTAGAGGATACTATAATACAGGCAGATTCATTTTGGGTTCTGTTCAAGTAAATAAGAAATTACTTGGAAAAGGTAATGTTACATAGAAAGAGTCCCATCCCAAGGATGTTCTTAAGTCTCAAAAACATCTTTTTCCTTTAATATACAAATTCTTCTGTACATTATAATTCAGTTCTTACCCCAATGTTCCCCGACCTGACATGGGAGGACTTGGTGGTTTCTGAGTAGGAGGATTTGTTCTCGACAATGTGCCAGTTCTTCCAGGCTGGTTATTTCCATGCTAAAATTGTGGAAAGAAAGGTTTTTATTTTTGTATCAAACTGTTCTGATGGTGTTTTGACACCATGTATTATTATTTTTTAAATATCAGAATGTGATGTAAGGATTCCCAGACAGTTTTAATAACCGACTTTGGGGTGCCATATTTTAAAAACTAAAGAAACTGCTTGCACTTGGTTTTTATTATTCTGTGCCATTCATTCCAATTTATGGCACACAAATCTAATAATCTCACATTTTACCTTATTGCTAAACATGTTTGCTGAGATCAAATTTATCTGCATTCCAATACAGGGTTTCCCAAAAATTTTGAAATGTGTGCATTATGAATATAAACTATAGATCTCAGTAATCAATTTGCTAAAATTTTATCTGAAAAATCTTTATCCTAACAATTCTATAACAAAGTCATCTATGATGTCTGGGAAACCTAATTGTAAGTCAATAAAAGCAAGGCAACTATCAAAAAATGAGCAAAGCAATAAATGTTAGCAAAATTAATGTCCCTATACAAATGCTGATGTCAATATATCTTTGATATATTAACACTCAAAGCTAATATGCTGAGCTGAACTAAGTTTGAGCATATTTAATCTACATAAATCCTACAGGAAGAAAAGCAGACAGACATAAGAAGAGTTTTCAAACTTTAGTGGCTCTGCAGCCTCTATCAATATAGAGGGAATGTTGTGGATCAAGTGATAAATAACATCTCTTACCTTGGCTTTTAGCCACTTTATGTTGGCAAAAAAAGGGAGGGGGGAAAAAGTACAAATTAATTCTAGATAAGTTAAGTCTGATAGGACAGGTTTACATTTACAGTTATTCAATTCACATTAATAAGCTTAACCCAGCCAAATTTCAATTATTTTATAAAGGGAAAGATATTTCTAACCAATAAGGTGATACTCATGTGTCTCATCTATTTTTCAAGAGAGTACATTCATATGAAAACTGTTTAATTTTACCAATTTCATGGGGCACCAATAATTTCTTAATTCAGTATTTTATCCTATGGTATCAACAACTAAATCATAGATTAAAAATAACCACTTTGATTTAAATACGAACACCTTAACATATGAAATGTAAAGCTATTTTTATACATCATTGTGTAAAACCTAAGACTTTTGGTAGACAATGCCCAGGTATGAGTATTCATTATTTGAATGGTGGCATAGTAGCTTAAAATTTATTTCAATAAATAGCAAATATTGAAATTCAAAATTACGGGTTGCTTCCAAAATCAGAAAAGGATCTAGAATCTCAGCGATTAAAAATAAAATCACAATGTATAGCAATAGGTAAGCCAGATTCTTGCAGGGCATGGACACCCTCTCATTTGTACTTATAAGTCCAAATCTTAACCAGATCAACATGAAAAGGATTTAAGCCTTTTTTTTTTTCCAATTTTAGCCAAAATTCAAGACTGAAGAAAAGGTGCTCTGAAACTAAATGTTACCTCTGTCAAAGATGACTGGCCTACATCCATGAAACAATATATACAGTTCTTAAGCATCAGTGCTTGTACTAAGCCACTTAAGAAAAATTATCTTCAGTGTGTAAAGTATAACTTTAATAATTTCACTTTTGGTCTCCCATTCTTTCCATAACATATGCCATTCTAAATCTATCATTTTCAGGTGATCATGAGGCAACATTAAAGAAATCACCCAAAAGAGAAATGTTGTTGTCTTCAATATATTCACCTTTTAGAAACTGCCAGGATTTGGTTTTTGAAATGTTTCAAATAATATTCATTTATTATTCAATTTCAAACAATATTCATTTGTATCTGAAAACAATGTCTGGAATCCTACCTAGCTGTCTGGAATCATACCTACTTTTAAGAGTTAAACTTGAATAATAAAACCCATACAACTTGCCTAATTTCTTGATTCAAGTGAACAAGACGCACAAACACAAAAAGTAACATTGAAGTAAAACTAGTCCAAAGTAAAAGAATGAAAGAGAATTAAATTGGGAATGAAAATTCTAGTTGAACTCTGCAACTCTGCAAAGGTTTTAATCTCCTCTATTAATTGTACTTATGTATACAGATGTATTGATGTGTTGGGGTTGAAGAATGTTGGAAAGAAATAATTTCTACATTTTTTAAGTCAAGATAGAAACTATTAGCAACCTATAAAGTTTTTCCAGTTTTATGTCCCCAAAACATCCAAAACTAAACTTTATTACTCCTTTAAGATCTCACCTCATTCCTTTAACATTCATACTTATAGATGAGCCATTTTACCATTTTCTTGAAATCTCACTGAAAATAACAGTATTCTCTTTGGCCATTCTCTATCTTCAGTCCCTATGTTGATCACAAGTTTTGCAGATAGGTACACTAGAAGTCAGTAAGACCAATTCTTTCTCTGAAACGACTCATTAGCTCACTGTTTAGTTATAAAACTGTCAATTATTATTGCTATTTATCAAAAATAAATTTAAATGCCTCTGCTAAGTGTTCAAATTTTCTCTATTGTAGTTTACTATAAAACTTTGTCCTCCTTTATGAGTTTCATCTTCTTTTCACCCTCCTTTATGTATATATTCTGGTATCTTCTCTATGCTGAAATCCTCTTACCCGTATCTTACATGCTTCCACAGTCAAACTAGATTTAGCTTAATATAGCTTCTTCCAAGGGGCCTCCTTAGTGACCTAGGGATTAAGTCTCACCACTATCACTGCTATGATCCACAGCCAGAGAGCAAACCAACATGGCACAGCAAACCTCTCCTGTCTTGCCCACTGCTCCCCTCAGCAGTGTTATTTCGGTAGATCTGCCTGTTCTGTTCCCTGTCTCTCGTAAATACTCTCACCCCACGCACCTCTGGTCTATACCCTAGTTCTTCTATTGAGTAAATAATTTTAAAAGGGGAAAAAAAGGTGTTTTTCAGATTTTTCATTCCACCAATATTTGTATGTACCATCTACTTTACTGCATAAGATGCACTATCATATAGTATCATTTGAATGAAATACAAATACAAAATGTAAAACTCAAAATAAAAAAGAATATATGCTGCAGTATCAATAACAGATAAAGGTTGGCAACTCTCAGAAGAAATAAGGGTATATTTGGATACAATTTTTTAAAATTATACGCACACACATATCATACTTGGAAGTATGATAGTAAATATCCCAACAGTGTCAAAGAATAGAATAAAGAGCAATATTGTCATCTACACTCCTCTATTGACCAGGAACCCCAGATAATTCTGGAAACAAGAGACCTAGCAGTACTGTCAGTCAGATCAATCAGCTAGAAGAGGCTTCAAAATTCTAGCTAATTCCTAAAAATTAATATATTCAGTAGACCACAAACAAAAGCAAGTAATAATCCTCTAGAAAAGGGACTATCAAAATTCATCCTGAGCAGAAATGGCTAAAGAATTTGTGTAATTCAGATGCTTGAAAAATGTTACCCACTAATACCTAAAATCTTGATAGACCAAAGTTATCATTTCAGAAGAGTTAATTCTGGCATGCTAAGAAGTGGACATGGGGGCCCTCCGTGGCGGCACAACAAGTTAAAGTGCAGCACTATATAGTGAAGCTATCAGCAGCCACTACAGCACAAATTTGATCACCAGCCAGGGATCTGACCCACATGGCACAGCAGACCTCTCCTGTCTCACCCACTGCTCCCCTCAGCAGTATATTTTAGAAGATCTGCCTGTATGCTCCCTACTCTGTCTCTGGTGAAATCTTTCATACTCCATACCTCTGGCCTGTACACTAGTTCTTCTAAATAAATAAATCTTTAAAAAAAAATAGTGGACGTGGGCAACAAAAGTCTCTTTCCTAAAAGTCTTGTTTGTAGAAATGGAGCATGTATACATAGAACAAAATGACATATTAATTCTTTTCATTTGTCCTAAGTTCTTGGAATTACATCTATACAAGAATTCTAATAAGCACACATACTTAAAAGAGTAAAAGGACAAAAGTATTCATAAATAATTTTCCATATTAATTCTGGAAAGTATGTCAATTTTTATTAAGAACTCATTCAGTAGTAAAAGAGTCATGGTGTTCACAACACAAATTTATAACACTAGTTTAGGATTCAGATATATTAACAAATGAATAGCCATTTCCATTTTTTTAAACATCCTTTGTCTCAATTTTTATTATCTTCTTGATTACACCCTATTCCACAGGTAAAATTCTGCCAATCTGCTCAATATACAGTCTTAGTGTAACACATTGCTAATATTAAGTAAATATTCTGTGAAAATTATAATGCTATTTAGCTAAAAGAACCTAATTCTTTAAGAAAATTGTTTTTATTACCACTATTTTCTATCAAAAATATTTATCGGATATGCAAATTACTTCAAATTACTGCAATATAAAAATGCTTACCTTAACACCATGGCCCACATCATCCAGAACCGTATAGTCAATAGGTTTCCGAATATACCTTACAGGGCGCTCCATATTTGCAGGTGCTATTATTTTGTGAGTTCTGGAAGTATTCTTATTTGTTGTCAAAATACCAATCTCTCTTCGAGCCACTTTCTCTTTATGAATATCCACAGTCTATATTTTAAATTTGAATAAAACAAAAAATTATTATTTGGCATAATAAATATGATGACCTTTTATAAACTGGGCAATAGGGCTGTATCACCTGACTATCACAATATTTCAATGGATGTTGTGTCTTCTTCAAAATAGTAGTGCATAGTAGTGCTCTTGAGACTCAAAACTGGAAATTTCTAAAAGTGATTAAAAGTAGCAACTAATGTAATGAACTTGATTCTAAAACAATTCTCAGGAAAGCAATTTTCTTCCAGAGTTGAGTTTTTATGCAAATGGAAGAACTGGTTCTGCTCTAAATAAAGCTTACACTTTATTTAGCATGGACGCAAACCAGAAAAAATAAAAGTCAATTAATTTCAACACAACAAGGCAAATGCTGCTGTGACAACTGTACAGTTTATTTGAAATTAAAAATGATCAGAGCAAGATCCTTAAAGTTAAGAACAGTTCTGTTAAAGGCTTTTCAGAGTAGGTAGAGTTCAAAGGATGAGAAGAGAAGCAAATAATAAAGTCATTCAAGGCAGAAAAAACTTAATCTTGCATGTTGGTGCTCAAGCTTGCACTGCCCAGACTGCCAGCACTGCCTCCAGGTCCATGATGTCAGACATGTCAACACACGTACCATCAGCAATACATATAAAATAAAGGACTCTGTTCCTGAAGCAGTGTTACTATATTTGTGACTCCTGGAAAAATGCTACATCACCCAGTACTACAGGTGATAATGACCTTTTTTCAGGTTATGGTGTTATATTTCAGTATAATCAGTTGACTACAGGCACATCTCTATGGTTCTTTACACTAATCTGTATCACGTTTTTCATTTCCATTTGCAGAGTGACAATGATATGCTTTTTAATCACAAAAGTCACTAAACAATGGCTGTCAAGAACCATGACAAGACTTCTGGAGAGTGGTTACACAATACTATGAGTGCAACAAACACTACTAAACTGTTCACTTAAAAATAAGTTAAGATATGGGCCCTCCCTGGTGGCGCAGCGGGTTAAAGCACAGCACTGAGAATCTAAAGCCGCTTCCGCATGAGTTCGATTCCCGCCTGCCCCGGAGGTGACCACATGGTGTGGCAGACCTCTCCTGACCTGCCCGCTGCTCCCCTCACAGCAGTGTACTTCATCGATCTGCCTGTTCTGTTCCCCACTCTGTCGCTGGTGAAGCCTTTCGCCGCCCCTGAGCCTCTGGCCTGTACCCCAGTTCTGTATGCACAAATAAATAAATCTTAAAAAAAAAAAATAAGTTAAGATAGCAAAGTTAATGTTGTATGTATAACTTATTAAATTATTCTTTTAACTCAAAAGGTTTTTGACTTTATCTCCTGCTCACCACTTCCACACATCAGCAATGCAACCTGGTCTCTGAATGTACATGTCCCAGGAAGAAATCGTCTCCCTCTTAAGTCTCAGGGGTCTACGCTGACCATGGCTGAGCACCATGTTTCTTTCTTTGCCCCAGTGAAAACCCCAGGTTGCTCTGATTAGTATACTCTGGGTGGCATCCGAAACAGTGAGGGGGAGGTGGGGTGGGTAAAATTCTTTTGGCTTAGTCCCCTGAATTTTTTTGCTCAATTTCTATGGTGTTAAGTAATAGAAATAACAATCATTTGATTAAGTAAGCTATACTGCTCACAAAGTCACCTTACAGTGGACCATGTGGTATAAGCAGGAAACAAATTATGTCACCACTGTCCCTCTTGTACCTCACCCTTTCGGTGAAAAGGGACAGATGAGAGTTTGGCATGGCTGGAAATGGGAAACACTAGTTTTGTGGCAATGAAAGGAGAAAGACTCTGGCAACTGAAAGAATTTAGACTTCAGGAGGTAAGAAACATCATTAGTGATCTGTCTTTCAGAATCAACCTTTGTTCACCAAAGGTAATTTCCTGATGCATACAGTCCATCCAAATTGTGTGTCTTAAACTGAATTAACTGCTGGGTCTGTTACACCCTACTAGTCAGCTCTATCACAACTAGAGCTCCATTCTCCTTAACATCACCAAAAGACAATGGTCTCAGATCCTGCACCTCACACACACAAAACACCTGTCTGTTAATACCTCCAGTTTCTTTCCTACTGCCTCACTCCTCTTGTCTGTAGTTATCCAAAGGGACAGAAGAATACGACCTGACTGGTGGCACAGATAAACAGGACTGATTGCCTTTAGGTAACTCCTCTTAAAATAAAAACAAAAACCAGATGAAATTATTCATATTGAATAAGGAATCTTATGGCCTTTTACACGCTGTGTAAAGTGTCAGCTAGAGTTCCTGGGTTTACTTAGGTTCCAACCAGAGGAAGGGAGAGTAATTAACATAAACAAATGTAGTTATACAAAAGTCAGGCATTAACTTACTCCCTCCAGAAGGGAAGTCTTCGAATATTTAAGCGATCTCTCCTCAAATGTTTAATTTAAACAAGCACTCCCAGTAGATCACATGGTCCACAGACAAATGTGATCTCTCCAAAGACTAATCTTGCTTACCCAGGGGGGAGACGCTTGGAGAAGGAGAGCTAACTGACTTATTAATAAAGTGAACTCTGAGGTAGTAACCCCTAAAGTGGGAGTAACACAATAAGAAAAAACATAGTTCAAAATTTGCCTTTGGCTTTAGCCAAAGAGATCAATGACATGACCTCACCCATGAGGTCACCCAAGGCAGTCATATGTCTCTGACCCAGAATCTACCTTCCACCAAAATCTACAAAACCATGACAGGTTGATGGTTCACATGTAGGACACTCAGACTTTTCAAAGTTTTTGAATCAAAGCAAATCTGTTTTTATAGTGAAATAATTCATATCTCTGACTGCCTACAGCACTCAGTAATTATGAGGGACATTTACTACAAAATCAGGTTTCACTGGAAGTTGAAAGAAGATGGGCCAACACTCACCTTAGTTTCCTCCTTGAACACCCTTCTAAATCCTCACTTTCACCTTTACAGATCTATCATCTCCAGGTCTAGGTCAAGAGTCTTCCCTACTTATAACCTCTCCCTGGTAAATTCACTGACAATCAAGTTTAAATTATCATTAGACACAAAACACTTTTTCTGTCTCTATCCTAGATCTCTTCTCTGAATTGCAGAATTACATAAAACTGATGCTCCTATCAAATGTTTTAATGATACATCAAAATTACAATGTCCAATATTAAATATAAGTTTACTCAACTCTATTTCAATGTCCTTACTTCAGTTTTCTGGTGTCAAGTACTTAACTTCATGTCCAACATCACTAAATCTTAACATGTTTACCTTTATCTAAAATTTGTTTCCAACACTTTTAATCAGTTATTACTTCCTTTGCATAGTGCAAATTTATTCAGGACACTGTTTAAGTTACAAGAAAATTTTTCCTCTAAATCTACTCCCAATCTTCCAATTCAGAATCACAAGAGTCCAAATCACAACCGATCCAGCTACACAAAGCCCTCCATATGGCAGGGTGAATAAAGCAGGGAGGAGGAGGGGGAACAAGCTTGGAACATTTGTGTAACAACAGCATACATATGTTCTCCAAGACAAATAAGCTTGTTCAGGGAGACTAATTCCTTCTCATACTTGAATTTCTGAATTTCCAGGCTCTCATGAATTTTTTTCTTCATACTTTTTTTCTTTAGATAGCAAAAGAAAAATTTTGATAAAAAGAAAATTAGTTTTCAATTTAAATATAATAGAGATGAAATTTACTCAAGTTGAAGTAATTATAAGATCTAGGTGACCAAGTCCAGACCCAGAAGCACAGCAGAAAATGAGTGGTTTAAAAAATAATAAATAAACCACACAAACATGAAATCAGAAAACTTTGGCAGACTACAAGTTCTTTCACCTACTAGTTATAACACTTTATACAAGCTTTTTAATACGCTAAGATTCCATCGTGTTTATATAAAATGGGGCTTGAGATATTAGAATTTCTATTACTTAGTACAAAAAAGTACTTAAAAATTTTAACCACACCTAAATTTATCATATTATCCAATCATAATTCTACAATAGAAGTATTTATAAAATATTAACATGAAAACAAATATATAATACATAGCATACTAGAAATATGAATGTTAAACCTGGAGATTTTTCTACCAAGTGAATAAGACACAGGGAAGGGAGAGAAAACCTATGGCTGCAGTTACATGTAGAATCTAACACTGAACACATAAAGAGAGGAGAAGCTGAACTACTACAGGTCTTGAACAAAAGGTACAAAATTGCAGTTATGTAGGATGAGTAAGTTTAATGATCCAGGATACAGCGTAATGGCAATAGTTAATCAGATTTATTAATTACTAAAAAATTTACTGAGTAGATTTCAGGTGCTCTAATAACACAAAAAGGTGACTTTGATAATTAGTTGTTAGTAGTAATCACTTTACAAGGTATGTAACAAATATGTACAAATCTTACTTAAAAATGATGATGATAGGCCGTCCCTGGTGGCGCAGTGGGTTAAAGCACAGCACTGAGAATCTAAAGCCGCTTCCGCATGAATTCGATTCCCGTCTGCCCCGGAGGTGACCACATGGTAAGGCAGACCTCTCCTGGCCCGCCCGCTGCTCCCCTCAGCAGTGTACTTCGTCAATCTGCCTGTTCTGCTCCCCACTCTGTCTCTGGTGAAGCCTCTCGCCACCCCTGGGCCTCTGGCCTGTACCCCAGTTCTGTATGCAAAATAAATAAATCTTTAAAAAAAAAATGATGATGACAGTATACACAATGGAATATTACTCAGCAACCAAAAAAAGGGAAGCACATGCCTTTTGCAGCAACATGGATAGGGCTGGAAGGATTGCACTTAGTGAAATAAACCAGAAAAGAAAAGGAAAAATAATGGATGGTTTCACTTATAGCAGGAGTATAACAGAACAGGCAAGAAAACAATAATAATAATAATAATAATGAACAGCTATATATCAGAGACATTTCATGGGGGTGGAGTGGGGAATGGGAACAGAAACAGTTGGGGAGGGAAATGCACTG